ATATGCATAGTTTGAGGATTCCGCTAATTGGGTATAATTGCAATTTGGTGGTACCAACCTTTTATTAGCGAACATGAGGACGACGATCAGAACGAAAACGAGCACGATGAAGACGATTCAGCGGATGTGGCAGTCATGTCCACGGAGAACCGGCAATCTCGGAGTCATCGAAAGGTCGGTTTCGAGCGCCAATCGTATTTATTCTCTTCGTACTTTTATTTGAGATCTATGACGTTTTGAAAGTGGATAACTCCTCCATGCCATAAACAATCTCTTTCATTAGTATGTTATTCTTCTTATTCTATCGACGTTTTTGCCTTGGGTTAACAAGAATGTCGTTCACATCTTTGCTTTGGCACAGTCTGGCTATAAGTTTAATGAGTGTCCATGACTGGTTTTCTATCTTTTTGTCTCTCCTTGGTGCAAACATACGTATGTAGGATGCAACTCACAGTCGTTAGACGTACGATGGAAGGAACATGTGCAACACACACTATATCAAGGTAAGGATACAAATGTTAGGAATCATTGATTATATCCATGGTTAAGAAGGTACGACATAGAGAACTACGTAGCTATACCTATCGCTAATCTAGCAACCCATGACCTGTTGTATGTGGAACGATTCTTCATCTGATATTTTTCATTATTTCTGAATAACCTGGGTCATACTGAGGTCAATGCGAATAGGAATAGTAGACTAGGTAAGAAAGAACGTTATAAAAAAAAAAGAGGTGTCCGACCAGTTAAAGACAACAGAAGACATGTGACTTTGATTATTTTGAATGTGTCATTTGGTTTGGTGTCGATATCAAAGGATAAAATTTTGAAGTAAGTCTTTGAGAAGCAGGTGTCGGCGTTTTCAATAGAGTGCTATGGTGGTAACGACTGTGCAATAGGTGGAAGGTACTAAAGAAGAATTTGGGTCAATAGTTGTGAAATATGACAGAGGAACATGTCTGTTGAAGAACGCAAAAGGATGGATCGTGTCGAACAATAAGCTGGTATTCACCGACGTAACGAAATTGTGTTCCATTTTTAGGGGCAGGAAACAGGCTTTGATCCCTCTCGTTTCAACTTATTCCTCCATAAAAACTCTCTAATGTCATAGTTTTGATGAGTAGATCGATGCCTACTCTACTATCCATTTTTTTATCTGAAAAAGAGAGTAGGGCTACGTTCTGTGCAATTAATGCACGAGTGTTGTGAGGTAAGTTCAAATTCAATATTAGAGTCAAACCAATCATATGGATTTCATATGATGCAAGATTATTGAAATTGAAGCTTCGAAGGTTATGTGTTTGCAAAGTGCGTGCTTCGACCGTTAAGAAACCACAACGGGAAAAAATATGTAAGTGATTGAAAATTGTTCATCCTGAAAGTAAGTCTGTAGAGGCCTTGCACATGAACCTTGTTTATTAAAAAAAAAAAAAAGTTTGTAGCTCGGCTGTCAGCTGTCCGATGGGGAGACGTCTCCCTCGAACGTCTCCGGGAGACGGTCAGGGGGAAGTTATCCGAGATTCTAGACAACAACTTTTTTGCCAAACAAAAACGAAAAAAAAAAAAAAAAAAAAAAACATGGGGGGTTCTGCGCACCGCTAGGGCCCCCCCCCCAACGACATTTCAATCTGAGCAAAAACGAAAAACAAAAATCAGAAACAGTGTGAGAGGTGTGATGGTGGGATGTTGGGGAGTGGATTGTTTGGGGAGTTCAAATGGAGGGTTCGCTGCTGCAGTCAACAACTGCTGCACATGCAGCGATTGCAGCTGCTTCATTTAACGCAGCATGTGTGGACCAACCGCTCGGAGAGATGCAGCAGTTGCAGTGACAGCGGCACACACACACACACACACATACACACACACACACACACACACACACACACACACACATAAACACACACACACACACACACACACACACACACACATTTTATCCACACAAACACAAAGAATGACACGCATGTGAGCACACATACACACAGTCACACACACACACTATCTACTCGCACATACACACTGTTTGCACACACACGCACTATGTACACACACATAAATGCACTGTCTACACACACCAACACCCACCCTCCCCCCCTGCCACACACACTCGCACTCTCACTGGGAAAGAAACAGTAGCAAGGCTACGAAAATCTGGCAAAGTAAGAGATGAACAAAAATAGCCAGTTCTCATAGTACTGCAAAAAGGGGGATAGCTACAAACCTGATTTCAATGTGATGTTTTGCACCTCAGATTAGGCTGAAGACGTCTGTGATTGATAGAAGTTTCTGCTTTGCAGACAGTTAATCCCCCTCCTAGAGCGAGGAGAGAGAGAGAGAGAGAGAGAGAGAGAGAGAGAGAGAGAGAGAGAGAGAGAGAGAGAAAGAAAGAAAGAAAGAAAGAAAGAAAGAACATGTAAGTCATCAACGCTGACCTCATGCTACTTTCATCGATAGGATGAGCAAAATCGAATGAATCTACTGTTAGAACATGGAAATATACACTGCCACACCTGTTTTTTTTTTTGTGTGTGGAATCATTCGATTTTGCTCATCTCATAAATGGAAGTAGCATGAGGTCAGCCGCGAGGTTGGAGACTTAAAGTAGGATGAGGTCATCCACGAGGTTGAAGACTCAGGTGTTCTCTCTCTCTCTCCCTCTTTCACAAAAAAAAAAAAAAAAAAAAACATACTCAACACAAGTGTGGCAATGTATATTTCCATGTTCTAGCGGTAGATTCATTTGATTTTGCTCATCCTATCGATGGAAGTAGCATGAGGTCAGCCGCGAGGTTTGAGACTTACGTATTCTCTCTCTCTCTCACACACACACACACACACACACACACACACACATATGTTATGATTCCGATTGTCTATTGTCTGAAGACCAACACTCGCTCACATGGACTTCCAAGTATGCCCATACATACACAGAAGGAAGGGGAGAGGATAGGAGTATCACACCGCACGGGGAGAGATAAACACAGCGGAAGACTTGACCATGCGATATGACAGGGTACACTGAAAGTGCAACTCACTCCACTCAATCCTCACAACCAGTCATAAAGGAAAGCCGAGTAGATCACATCCAAAGGACAAGCAGCGCTTCACTCTCCAACCCTGATATACCACTCGTAACACCCCCGAGTCCTTGAAACATCAAACGCCACCCACTTACTGCCTCTAGAGGGCAGCGCCACCCTGAAACAGGCCTCTGAGGCCAAGCGCCACTCAAAAGAAGAAGAAGACCAGTGGCACAATATCTGATGATGACGAAGTGTCGGAAGACTTTCTTGGTGGAAGTCTGCAGCAGCGCCACCACTCCTGACAATATGACCTCTGAGAAAGAAGCTGCAGCTATGGCTGCAGCGCCACAACCCTGGAACTCCACTCCGGAGGAGGGTCCAGCAGGGCACCAACTCCGCTCGCGTCCAGCAGACCCCGACTAACCCAGACCTATGTACAGCCCCGCGTGCTGACAGAGTACAGCGCAAGTCCCAGATATGGCCGGCGCTCCGAAGGTCTGGCTATGTCTGTCTCCCAGAACGCTGAGCCGTCACCACGTCCGTTTCACGTGTAGCGCAGCAGCGATGTACTCGGTACCAACTGCCAAAAAGCCCTGAACCGATGTGCCTAACCTATCTATAGTCTACTCTAGCCTAGACTCGACCTACACCGGACTGGCTGACCGGCCTGTACCGATTCTGTTTCCGCCTCTAGGGCCTCTCCCAACCCGGCTATAGGCTATAGGACCGTCTATCAGTTTAGGCCCTTAGGGCCTGTCTGTCCTAGGGGTAGCCCGGGCCTGCTATTCGCAGTTTCATCGCTGTTTGGAATTCTAGTTAGTTGGGCCTATATTTTCCAAAATTTACAGACATGACCCTCACGGATGTCCTTGCAGGCAGGTATCTCCTTTAGCCCTCAGCCAAACAAAAATTACGAATCTGTCCTAATAGTACAACCTCGACAGAGAGATGCTACAGGCGACCAGAAACCACCAAGTCATTGCACACACACACAAACACACACACACACAAAAAAAAAAAAAAAAAAAAAAAAAAAAAAGACAAGTGTGGCATTGTATATTTTCCATGTTCTAGAGGTAGATTCATTTTCCATGTTCAAGAGGTAGATTCATTGGCATGAGGTCAGGCGCCAGGTTGGACACTTCCCTGTTCAAAAGATGGATGGTACAGGTAGGGGCATATCATAAAATTTTCCAACGGCTATCCGATAGGGGCATGCTGCAAATTTGTTGTGGCTACCGGTAGGGGCACTACGAAAACGTACGAGGCCCAAACGACAGCAGGGTCTTATGGAAAATTGGGACTTGTCGTCAGAGGGGAGCGACAGGGTAAATCTGCCGTCGGAGGGGTGGAACGCAAAATAATGGAAAATACAGGGGCGCCAGACAAATTTATCCACCCAAAGAAAAGGACTCGAGTATATATATATATAAACTCCGACGAAACAGTTTGTCACAGCCCCTCGTTTGTTGTCCTCTTCTCTCTCTCTGCCTACGGTTTACCGGGCTTTTCTATTTGTGACGATATATATATATATATGTTTATCTGGGACCACACCCTACCCAGCGAGGTACGGACCATTGCCGAAGCACACCACGGCCTTCTGGTCCTGATCCACGACTCTGTTCATTCAGGCTCGCCTCTGGAACTCGTTTTTTTTTTTTTTTTTTTTTTGTTGGCCTCTGGGACTTGGCCCTCCATTACTCTCCAAACGTGCAAAATCAGAATGAATCTACCCATAGAACATGGAACTATACCTCGGCATATTTTGTCTTTTGTGCATGTGGAGAGGAGTGGAGCGAGGCCCTATGTCGCGATTGGTGGGCGAAGAGTTCGAGTCGTCAATCCAGGAATGGGTGCTGATGTCTGCTAGGCCGTTGCGCCTCAGGCTTCCGCCGCTGCGCCCAACCAATCTACAGACTCCCGATCTAACGGTCGAGCACAGTCCTTCGGCGGAGCCGGCCAAGTGGCAACGGCAGGGAGATGACACGTGTCATGTCCATGCAGTCGAACGACCGCGGAGGCAATTCAAACTGCGCTTGCAGTGTTTTGAAAGCATCTGACGTCAATTGCGTCCACATGCAGTCTACACACCCAGCCTCAGCATCTTGATGACACTCGGTGAAGGTATACACCTTGACCAGTTCGTTGATGACGACGTCGCAGACGACGGCGGCGGCGGCTGTGACGACCACGTGGAGGATTGCAGGGGATCTGTCGTCTTGATTGTCGCGCAAGGGGAATCCGAATCCGCCTCCGCACAAGAACTCTGGGAGGTAGTCGTGGCTTAATTCTACCCTCCTCCCTTAACATCAGCTCTGGGGAGTCAGTTGGGTAGCCTATGCCTATGCTCATGAATAGGTCGCAGAGGAGAGTAGCAGCAGCAGCTCTGATTAGGTCGCAGAGAATAGCAGCAGCAGCAGCAGCAGCTCGCGCTTGATGGTCGGTATCGGCAGCCATCCGTTTGGTAGTACACACCTTCTCCTCCTTTCTTGACGCTCCACGTGTCCATCGTCCGTCGGCGCGCTCCGATCAAGGTATTGATTGGATCCACGTGGCATCGATCGATCCATCGAGCGCGCAAGGAGGCGGGCGACGGGGTGTGCGACGACCGTCGCGCACGGCGGCGGCCACAATGAGTACCGCGGAAGTAGAGGCTGTCGATTTCGAGCCGGAGGAGGATGATCTTCTCGATGAGGACACGGCTATGGAGGACGCGGCGGATCAGAAGACGGCGGGAGTGACGTGGCAGCAGCCGGCGCAGCCGTCTGTCGCTGCCGCGTCATCACAGCAGGCGATCTCTGGTCGGACGCTGAAGTCGACGATCACAGGCGCGGGATTGTCGGCGGTGCAAGCGGCGGCGGCGGCGGCGGCGGCGACGGCGGGGGTTGCGACGGCGGCGGTGGGGGGGAAGACCGATGCGCCGCCGGTGCAGGCGCAGGCGCAAGCGCAGGCGCAAGCGCAGGCGCAGGTTGGCCTTCCGCCCTCCGCCGCCGCCGCCGGCCCCACCTCCGGCGGAGCGTCGTGGAAGACGAAAGGGCGGGGCTTCCGCGACGATCTTGGCGCTGATCGAGGGGAGAGGTTTCATAACAACGACTTTGAGTCGTTGGATTCGTACGGCGGCGGGCCTGGACCGCAGAGATCGGTCGAAGGATGGATTATACTAGTGACCGGTGTGCACGAGGAAGCGCAAGAGGAAGATATACACGAGGCTTTCGCCGAGTTTGGAGAGATCAAGAACCTTCATCTCAATCTTGATCGACGGACTGGATTCGTTAAAGGGTACGCCTTGATTGAATACGAATCCCGAAGAGAAGCGCAAGAAGCCATCGAGAAGATGAACGGCAAGGAACTGCTAACGCAACCCATATCCGTTGATTGGGCGTTTAGTAGGGGGGCGATCCGACGGACGCATGCGCCTCGACGAAGATCTCCACGCGGAGCACGCAGATCCCGCAGCCCGCGCCGACGGCCTTATTAAAGATCCGCCGGCGGCGGCGGCGGCGGCGGCGGCGGCTGCTTCACGTGTATCGCGGCGGCGCATTCATCAGCATCATCCCATCAATGTATCCCCATTGCGTCGATCAGTTCGTTGGCCCGCTTGCTTGCTTGCTTGCTTGCTTGCTTGATTGATTGATTGCTGGCTTGCTTGGTTGATTGATTGCTGACTGGCTCGATTGCTTTGCTGGCTTGATTGATCGTTGGTCGTTCAATTCCATCTTCTGACGATTATTCGCGCTACGCGCGATGTGCAATATGGTTAGTGCTAGGCGGCGGCGCCACGTGGCGCCGTGCTATGTCGTACTTTGTCGGACTTTGCTAGGCTATGTGAAGACTGTGCAGCGATCGGGTTGCTTATGTGTTCGGATCATGTCTCCCAATTTCGGTAGTAGAGGTGGAATGCCACCAGTCGGGATCGGGATGTCGTTACAGAGAAAAGCTTTGTCGATGTGTCTTCGCCGTGGTCTAGGGTTTTGGCTTTGCTCGTGCTGTGCCATGCTTTTATGTGGTGCTACGCAGTGTACTAAGTTGGGAGAACAAGCCCCCATTCAGAAGAGAGGCAGAGAAGAAGGAAAAGGTAGCTGGTGAGTCGTTTTTTTTTTTTGTTTTTTTTTTTTAATTTCAACTGCTTTATTAGCTGTTTTCAAGAAACCAATGCCCTTAGAGATAAACGGTTGAGATCGAGCCTTTCGTTATAGATGGTCGGGATCGGAGCCATCGTTGGATCGGGATCGCGGCCATCGTTTGTCAAACGCAGCTGAGAGTTGGAGGGGTGAAGAAGAAGAGGGAATATGGATGTGTACCAATGTGAAAAAGGGTGGCTGGACATCGATGGCTGGATATAAATAACTTTTTTTATTCGAGTCTGTGGCTCTTCTGTGTCTAACCTAATCCTCCTCACTTCTCTCTCTCTCTCTCTCTCTCTTTCTCTCTTTCTCTCTCCCCCCCCCTCCTCCGTCTTCTTCTGCTGTGCAGTATCTGTCAATCAATCTATCAATCAATCTATCTTCTCATCATCGTCTCCGTCTCTCTCATCGTCTTTCCCGCGCATGGATGAACTTTTCCCCGCCATCTTCTTTTTCGCGCGCCCTACTCGCTTCTCTCTCCCTCTCTCTCTCTCTCTCTCTCTCTCTCCTCGTGCTCGTCTTCTTCTCCTCTGCACTATTTGTCAGTCGATCTATTTTCTTGTCATTATCTCCGTCTCTCTCATCTTCTTTCCCGCGCATGGATGAACTTTCCCGCCATTTCCCGCGCAAGGATGAACTTTCCCGCCATTTCCCGCGCATGGACGACCTTTCCCGCGCATGGATGAACTTTCCCGCCATTTCCCGCGCATGGATGAACTTTCCCGCCATCTTCTTTTTTCCGCGTAGCTTCTTCGTCTTCTTCTTCTCCCCATCTCCCGCTCTTCTCTCTGTAATCCTAATCCTTTCCGTCCATCCTATCTTCTCCTGCTCATCGTCTTTTTCTTCTTCGCCTGATCTATGTCTTTGTTCTCATTTTCTTCGCTCCCATCTTCATCCTTTTTTATTATCCTGATTTTTACAACGAATTTCCTTTTTCAATCGTGTAAAATACTATCTATACTGGGAGCGACTCTCGGACCATCTTGTTTTCTTTTTCCAGTCTTTTTTTTGAATGGGTCCATCTTCTTCTTCTTCTTCTTCTTCTTCCTTGCCCATGATCTCCAGAACCTTCTATTCCGTCCTCTGCTGCGCTCCGATAAGCGCGACGCTCATCCGCACCGCTGATCTCCGCCTAAGTCTCCGCGTGAATCTCCGATGATCAGCTCGACACTTGCACGTCCTACCTTTTTTCTGCCTTCCTTTTGTTATCATCACAATGCTGACGCGTCTTTCGCCGGGCTTTCGATGTCATCCTCCTCCTTGGCATTCTCTGCGCCTGGGGTTATCCTCGCGCGGCTCATTATGCCTTGTTGATGACGTGTCATTATTCTCCGCCTGGGGTTATCCTCACGGCTCATTATGCCTTGTTGATGACGTGTTATTATCCCCTATCACCTTTCTCATGGTGTCAATCTTTGGGTTAATACCTTATCTCTGCCTCCCTCATTGTCTTCATCATTGATCTACTTGAACTGGAGGCAGATTGACGTGTCATTGCCTTCCGCATTGGCTCAATCGTTGCCTTCCTCATTGGGTCAGTAATTGGCTCAATCATCGATCTGCAAAATCTGTATGGAGATGAGATGTCATCACGTGCTGTGATGTGGCAAACCTAATGTAAGTGATGATCGATGACGGGTGATCACATGCCAAGGTACGCGGCTCGTACCCCTACACAATGATTGATTGGGATACCGATTTGTTTTTTGGCGGGAATCATGGCGTTCACCTTATCCACATGAACATGGCGTGTGTTCACGTGCCATGTGTTCCATGCTGGTCCCGAGTAAGTCGTGCCACGTCAGCTCTCCTCCTCCCGTCATCAAATGGAGACTAGTATCAGGCGCAGCCGAACTCATGGATCTGCGGCTGGGATGGGTGGTGGCTGGGATCTGAGGCTGGGATGGGTGATGGCTGGGATGGATGTTGTCGGGGAGCGCCGAGGCTTTGCGATGGGTGGTGGCGGAGGGAGAACTGGGAAGAAAAGAGGGAGGAGGAAGAGAAACAAGTGGGGGTGGAACAGGTGTGTGTGCAATGTACCTCCCGCTCCCGCGACTGAATCTATGTCAATTGACAGGTGAAGGGATCTAATCCGGTCGGACGCAAGAGTTCTACAGTAGTAGGGTTTAACACCTCGCGCGCGCGTGTGTTTGTGTGTGTGTGTGTGTGTGTGTGTGTGTGTGTGTGTGTGTGTTTCGTTTTTTTTTGCCGCTCTACTTTTTTTATATTTGGGAAGTCCGACGCTGGGTAAGGGAAGAAAAAGCGCCGCTCGATGGTCATGGCGAGGTGCGGCTGCTCGTTAGGGCATCTTACTCGGCCCATGATGATTTTGACTGAATGTGTGCCTTAACTCGGTCAGATACGCCGGAAGTGGTGTGGAGTAGAGCCCCTACAGTTGTTTTATTTGATGACGCGATCCCAACTTTCCCTCTGCTGATCAGCAGTTGGATCCATGTACAGATCAAATGGCCGGCTTTTATTTTTTCCCAAGGAGAGAGAGAGAGGTGCACTTGCGAGAGAGAGAGAGAGAGAGGGGGGGGGGGGGGGTGTGCACTTGCCAAAATATCTATATGGGATTGGATAGCACTGTTTGAATGGTCGATTAAATAATAATAATAATATAATAATAATAATAAATGGCTGGTCGTATTTCGCATCAAACCTGACGACAGAGTTGTAGCGGCGCGAGGAGTGAGTGCGGCTGTGAGGGAAGAGAGAAGAGGAAGCGGGTGGAGAAAGGAAAGAAAGGATGGGAGAAGGAGAGGCACGAGAGGAGGAGGGGGGGAGGAGGGGCATGAGAGAAACAGAGACAAGAGAGAAGGTGAGAGAAGGAGAGAGAAGGGAAAAGAAGAGGAGGAAAAGGGAGAAGGAGGAGGGAGATTGATGGCGGAAGAAGGGGTGAAGGGGTGGGGTGGTCCCGGGCGAGGGGAAGAAGAGAGAGCGCCATGGGAGAAGAAAGAGGAAGAGGGTTTTGCTTGTGTCACTCTTTACGTGTGGGGTCTAAAGGGCTCCAAGGTGTCAGCTACGCTAGGGTTTACTATTATTTTTACTATTATTCTTATTAAGTTATTATTTAATATTCATTTATTACTCTTCTTTTTATGTTACAATAATTAGTTTCAGTTTTTTTTTTTCTTTTTCTTATTTTACCATTTCTCGATTTATGACTGTCATCCTTGCCTAGGGGTCATGTTTTTTTTTTTTCTTTTTTTTTTTTTTACCATTTTTCTGTATCGTTCCAGTTTTTGAACAGATGTCCCGAAGGACATTTGTCTTATTCGAGCGAGAGTTGGATCCAAAAAAAAAAAAAAAAAAAAAAAGTGCTGCAAGCACGAAGGCGTCCGTTCGTTCCGCCAACACTTCCGTCCGATTGTGAGACGTTTTATATATATATTGTGGGATGGTGGGACGATGAGTCAGGTCATTTTCGACGTGAATGAATTTTTGCGAGCGTTGTCGAATCATACTTTATTCTGGATTATTGACCGACTCTCGTGTGACACCTGTCGGGACAGAGACGCGGTGCGCCTTGGCTGTGGAATGCATCATCTATGCCATAGCCATTATCAATCTATTGCGACTGCCGCCGTCTGTCCTGAAGGGTGTCCAACATTTCCTCATTGTACACATCCCTRTCACCCAGATATACGTTGTCCGTATTGTGCCCAAGGACGCTATCAGAACTGTATGATGCCGCACTGTGATGAACGTCCTGCTGTGTTTTTGACACGTGGACAACACGTCCTCTGTCAGGACTGTTTTGATGGGATGGTTCGTGCTAGCCGTCCTGCAGAATGCTGTGCTGGCGCAGCTCTCCTTGTGCATCCTTGTGAACATCCACATCATCCTCACCGTAGCTGTCCTATCTGCCGAGGTGGGGACAGGTAAAGAAAAAAAGAAGAAAAGAAAAAGAGAAAAAAAGAAAAAAAGAAAAAAAGATAAAAAGAAAAAAGATACGTTGATCTGTGGGATGTGTTATTTGCTTTGTGATAATTGGATTATCTTTCTTTCCCTATCTTTCCTTGTCAGGTTTGGTTTCCTCCTCCCTTTCTTTACCTCTTTGCCTTTTGGCTGCGTGCAAGTGGGTCCTTGTGACACACGGGGATGGGGGCAGCCAGCGCTCAACCTGTCATCCACGTGGCTGGCCTTGTACGTAAGAGGTTATGAACAGGTGG